TTTCCCTTATTTCAGCGCGCAGCAAAGGAACACCCAGACGAACAAGAAAAGAGCCATCCCGAATCAGGTACGGCCGCTGGCTCCCCGGTCCTCCCTCGTCGCGTGGGGCAGAGGTAGCTCTCCGGGATCCCGCTCCAGCAGTCATCACAGCAACCCGGAGCTGCGTTCCGCAGCTCTGCAATCGGGATTTGAGTTGATCCACAAGCTCCTTCCTTGAGGGGTATTTCACACTGGGGTTGGAGGCGGGAAAGACGGAGCTCTGGCTCACGGAGCGGGAGCGTTTGCTCCGCAGGAGCTCGTCTAAAAGCAGGATTCGAGTTGATCCACCAAATCCTTCCCTGAGGGGTATTTCACACTGGGGTTGGAGGCGGGAAAGACGGAGCTCTGGCTCACGGAGCGGGGAGCGTTTGCTCCGCAGGAGCTCGTCTAAAAGCAGCGGGAGTTGGGAGAAGCCGGGTGGCACGCGCTGCTGGAGGAGCCCCGTGCTCTGACGTGGGGCAGGGTCTGGCCTAACTGCCCGCTCCCGCCCCCGTCGATCCAGACTAGCCCTCCGGGGTGGGGGGCAGAGGGAACGGGGACCAAGAGGAGCGCAGGGACGTGCCCGGCAGCCGTGTCAGCCTCAGTTCTGTCTCATCGTGCAGCCTCCCGCTTCCGAGAGGGTTTGCTATCCGGTGTGCATGACTGAGAGCAGGACTGGAAGTGCCCCCTTGCATGGTGTTAGGTCTTGCAGTACCTAATGCAGACGTTGCCTCTTGTTTGGAAAGAATGTAATGAAATATTAACACTGTAAAATTATAATTAATAGCATGTAACTGTTTTTCTTTTGCTGTTTTTCTGCTTTTTCCTACCATTTTTGTGCTTCCTGCTCTCTTCTCCCTTCCATCACTTTGTTTTTCTTCACTGTTCTGTCTCCTTGTCCTGCTTTTTTTTTCCCCCCCTTAATTTTTGCGCACTTAAAGGGTGAGATACTGGTAAGTACCCACATAGCGTGATAGTGCTGGTAGACGACACCCAGTGATGGACGTGGCCCTGCCAGAAAGACCTTTCAAACCTAAAACGATGCCTCTCGCTTCCCAGAATTGAGTACGCTGATGGCAGAGGAAGGACAGGATTCCCCGAGCGGAGCAGCCAGGCTCCGTGGGCTTAGTCTAGAGACGGAAATTCGGTCCATCCCCTTCATCCCCACGCCTGGGCTCTTCCCACGGCCAAAAAAAAAAGGGCTCGGAGCTGATCCCTGCCCGTGTCACGACTGTCGGGCTGTCAGCGCTGCCTGGCATCTGCCTGTACTCGTTGGGAACAGGTATAGCTGGATACTGGGATTCAGGGTGTGAGTACTGGTTTTGCTGGGAAGCAAGAAGCCAAAATCTTTGGGGTTTAGCACAGAGCTGCCTGCTGCCGTGGTGGGACGTGGTTCCCGTCGAGGGCTGGAGAGAAGCTGGTCCTTGGGCAGGGGAGTCCCTCTGCCCGCGTTTTGGGCAGGCACGGCAGGTAGGAACTCACCC